TGTGTGTGTTCCTCCACAGACAAGGTGCCTCATTTCTCTCGGCTGGGTGATGTGGAGGTGAATGCCGGGCAGAACGCCTCGTTCCAGTGTGTCGCCACGGGCAAAGTTTCTGAGGTTGAGCCCTTCTTACTGGAGGTGAGAGCGTGTGCGTGAGGCTGTTTTCTTTTTATTTATTATCTTTGCTCCAACAGTCAAGCCCACATCTCTGCACACAGATAATAGAATGGGATTGGAGGCAGTAGGAAGGAGAAGAAAAGCACCACAGAGGACAAAGAGAAAGACATTTTACATGTCTGGCATTTAGCTGACAGTCTTATCCAGAAACAGTGGTTACATTTACATGCACGACTGCTGGCCAGACTGCTCTTAAAGTCTTCTTCAGCTGCTCTTTATTTGAGCGTTTTCATAGTGTGACTGAGTCTAAACCCGTTGGGGGAATATTCCTGTCCTCAGTTAACATGATCCACCATCCATCCAGTGTGGAGAAACACTGAGCTACTAGTGAGCATCATTTAATGCAGGTTAAATCCTGTTAATGCTGCTCACTGGACTGCTTTTGAACACAACAACGTTTTGGTAATCCAAAGCATACTTTGAATGAGTGCATGCTCTGATGATCTGTTTTGGAGCAGGGACAGTTATCATAACCAGGTTCTACCTCCAGTCTTACCAACTCAGCCTGGACATCCTGGGTTGTTCCTGTCCACCAGCTGACAGGATGCCCTGGAGCTTTTAAAGAAATGAACTGGCTGGCAGTGTGATACGACTAACATAGCACGTATCACAGTTCTGTGTTAATGAAGAGATAAATTGTTCCAGGAAACAGAAGCTGCTCCTGCATCATCTCCCATCATGTTGAAACCCATCATAAGGACAGAATGCAGTGGGAGTGAATCTGTTATAAAGCAACGGCAGCACCTTGACAAAACCCTCTGTAAAGTCACTCATATGTTTCCTGAAGAGCGGTTTTTAGGATCAGTCTGGTGCTTTTGGCCAGAACTGCTTCGGCAGCACCTGACTCCATCTAAGTCCCACCAATCAAAAATCATTTTAAGCCGTAATATAATTAAAACTGGTCAGTAATATAAAATGTCAGCCATGTTTTTACAGAGTAATAAGATATAGATACCCACACCATGTCACTTATTCACCACCTCGTTGAACACCCTTGAAGAAGGTCTAATCCTGAGAAGGTTGTCTTTGTTCTGGAGATGCTCAGACCCAGTCGTCTCATCATAACCATTTGGTTCAAAGTTTTTCTCACATCTAAAACATTAAGTATGAGAATCAAATTACTGTCAGATAGATCCCAGACATTTGTTTGATGTCTTTAACCTTTTGCAATGCAGGATCCAGTGTTTTGACACAACATGTGTCTCCTACAAGTTCTCCAGCTTTAGGGAGGCAACCTCCATCTCCTCCTCTGACCTCACGCTTAGTGGGCACCAGTAGAAACCATTTTAACCAGTAGCATAACACCAGCAGTGATAGTGTAGTCCTGTTAAATAATTCAGTAAGTTTGTGACTTTGAGTTTGTCTTTTAATGGTTTTGTTGTTGCGGGAAATGAGTCATTTGAGGGTTTCTAAGATGATTAAGTTTGCACCTCTGCTTTTGTAGTTTTTTGATTGTGATGGCATTTAGTTCACTAAAGCCCCTGAAGTCATCGCTCTCATGCTTCAACTGAAAATAGTTTCAATTTTCCTAGTTTGTATATGAGCTAATATTAGTCTTCAAAAATCCATCCCTGAATGCTTCCACTCTTCGTCTGGCCTTGAAGCCTGCACATCTAAGTGCTTTTGAAATGATGGCAGCAGGAGAAGGCGCTTTGCAAATGAGATCTCAGTATCGTTGGTGATCCATCCCTTGTGTTTCCACACGATTTTATTTCACACCCTCCCCTCTCTCTTCTTCTGAATTGACGCCTTTGAAGATCATCGGCATCTGAAAGAGCCTTTTTTTTTTTTCCATCAGTTTCAGAGTTTGCGAATTTGTTGACAGAGCTACACACACACACACACACACACACACACACACACACATGAAAACACAAACAAACAATACAAGGCTTGTCTTGTGTAATTTGACAGTATGCTGCAGTGAACTTCTCAGCCTAAGTCAACACTCGCTTCAACTCCTCCCTACTTTTCTCATTTAGAAGAAAAAAAAACTGGTAGAGATATATCACAAAGCATTAGCACCTTCTGTTCCTCCATTTGTTGTTCAGGGCCTGTTTGATCATCAGCACTGAGTCTGCTAATTGCTGCTTTCTCTTTGATCTCCCTGGTGCTGTGGAGGTCCAGTCTGGAGCTGCTTTACTTGGTTCCTTCTTCTGTTTAGCTAGTCCAAACTAATTGTTAGTATAATGTTTCTTAATCATTAACCATCATTTTGTGATGCTGTCCTCCAGCCCTGAGCTGCAGACAGCAGCCTCAGATGCTGTTTAGATGTTTTAACTGTAACACGTTCTGAGTCCAAACCTGAGCTAGTTCCTGGACTAACTCATGATGAAGATATTATGCAGGGCCTGTTGCCAGACAGGGGGACTGGCAGCACACTTGGCAAACAGACTCATTTATTTGCTTTTAAAGCCTCCAGGTGGACTTTAAAGTTAATGTTAAAAACATCAAAATCGTGCACACTGAAAAGTCACTTCTAACCATCGCAAAAAGTGCAGAAAACAAAAAAGTAGGTAACAAATTTGAAAGCTTTTGGAGGATTAAATGGTCCAGTGATTATATTGATACCAAAACTTAAAATAAGCTGTAATCTGGAGCTTTAGGAAGCTCACCCACTCTACATGTAATTCATATTTTCTAGCAGCAGTGCATTTCTCACCCCCCATCCCAGTAAACCAGTTCAAACATGTGAGTGTCAAACCCACTTACTTGTGGAAAGCGTGAGCAGCAACAGCTTACATAATAATCTGCTTATTCTGTAAGAGAGCTGCATATATTGTACCTGCAGCAGCTCATTCCAAGTGCTGCCCTCTGATTTTGTGTTCCACTGGTTGAGCCAATTGCCGGCGTGCCTGGAGCGCTGACACATTAGCAGAGCAAGAGATGAGGAGATGTCAGCCTGAGCCCCGGTGCTGGAAACACCGACCCGGGAGGCCCGTGTCACCAGCAAACACACTATTGTTCACGGTGACATTTATCACGTATTTATTATCTTGCCCTCCCATGGAGCTAATTCCAACCCTCCTTTTTCTTCCTGTCTGCTTCTCAGCCTGCCACCCATTTTTAATCACCTGGACAGGCTTCAGGTAAACACATGTGGTTGGGTTGTGTGTTCATAGCTGATTTCTCTCTGTGTGGTCTTTGTCTGGCTGTCAGCGGAGAAGCGGTGTGGTGCTGGACACGTCCCTGCTGTCTCGGCTCAGCCACAAGCGGCTGATGGCGACTTTCCAGGTGGAGGCGCAGCGTGGAGAGCAGGACCTGTACCGGTGCATCACCTCGTCCCCCAGAGGTGCTGCTGTCTCCAACTTCGGAGAACTCATTGTCAGAGGTAAACTATGTTAACAGCTTCATGTCTGTCTGAAAGTCGCACTGAACAGTGTGTATAAAAGTGAGCTCTTCAAGTAATGGGGTTTATACATGACTTGTTTGAAGCATTTGCTTTTGAGCCTGACCAGACGAAACACAAAATGAGACACCTGAAATGTCCATTTTATGGACTGAACAGGAACCGGTCGCATATGCTCGCTGACCTGATTACACACAGCACTTTGCTTCCATGAGTGCATCCAATGCAATGTTGGACTGCTGCGTGGTCGCAGGTCATTTCAGTTTGATGCGCTATCATGTTTATTTGAAACGGAGTCCAGAGACTCTAAGGTTGGAGACAGAAGCAGACAGACAGCAGGATGGAAGAAGGAGGGAAGAATAATCCCTACACTTAGAGACAGACAACCAAGCACACTCACATTCACACCTACGGACAATTTACAATCACCAATTAACCTCAACATGTTTCTGGACTGTGGGAGGAAGCCGGAGAACCCGGAGAGAACCCAGGTGTCCTTCCCATGACGTGAACCAGGGATCTTGTAGCTGTGAGGCGATGGTACTAACCACTGATCCACCACGCAGCCTTGTATTATTTTATGTCCAGTGAAAAGTTTAACATTTCAGGTATTTATTAGTCCCAGACTGCTTCTGATCGGTGTTGGAGAGAATGTGAACTTCAAATTGGCATCGACTCACATATTTTTCATTTAAAGTTATGCAGATATTAGAAGAATGTGTCTGATGCCACTGAAGCAGTTTTCTGCATTGATGTTCTCAAATATCTATAAAACAAACAGTTCTTGCAGCTGTACAGAAGTTCCTGGCTGCTGATTAAAATGTAAAGAAATAATTCCAACATAAAACTTCCAGCTGTCAATATTATTTTCTCTTTCTTAGTGGATTAAGTAGAGGTTAATAAGTGAGCTTTTGATGTGTCAGGATTTTATTTTTCCACTTTAGAGCCACGTGGAACAGAAATGACATCAACATCATGCTCTCTACAAGAAAGCAAAGAAGCTGCAGAATTATTTATTTGAAACAGTCTTTCTTGCTTCATGACTCACTAAATCATGTAATAAAAAACTCTGTAGGCAGGTGTAGTCACTGATCAATATATCAATCAGCAAACCTCCGCCCATGCACACAGTCCCTCAGCCACAGCATCATGTGATGAATTAATCTGATGTTCGTCTAGTTGATGAGGGTCATATTATCCATCATGGCTGGACGTTTTTATGTGCAGAGGACAGAATTAGTTATGTAATTATTCATGCAAATAAGCTCTTATTCAGTGTCATTCGAGTGAAAATTAAGATTTTTCAGCGTTCAAGACTTTCTCACACACTCTGGCTCTCTTTGTCTCACAGTCCTGATGTGATTAAAAGATTTTTATGACTCAGTGCTCTAGCAGAGCAGAAATAATGTTATTGAAAGTGTAAAACAAAAAAGAGAAAATCCATGACAGAAATCCTTTACTTCTCCTTTGCTCGCATGACTTGGTTCTTTCCAGCTGAAAATGGCAACTGGTTTCCATCACTGTTTTCAAGGACGGAGTTCCTTTTATGTTTTGCTGCTGTTTCCAGGATCACTTCCAAACTACAACAGAAAGTTTACTGTAAAAGGATCATACATACAACACATAAGACTCAGGATTGTGTACTTTTATCAGCATAGCAGATGATGAGATTTTTGTTCAGTGAGCTCACACCAGATGACACAAACTTTTCTGTTGCAGTGCCGCCAACACCGATCGCACCCCCTCAGCTCCTGCGGGCAGGTCCCACCTATCTGATCATCCAGCTCAACACCAACTCGATTGTGGGCGATGGACCAGTCATTCGTCGGGAAATCCAGTACAGGGCCAGCCAGTCCACGTGGACAGAAACACATGGTGTGGGCTCACTTACCTACAAGGTTTGGCACTTGGAGCCGGACACAGAGTACCGCATCAGTGTCCTGCTCACCCGGCCTGGAGAGGGAGGCACCGGAGCTCCTGGACCTCCACTGATCAGCAGGACCAAGTGTGCAGGTCAGTCAGAGCTGACACACAGGGGCAGAGCTGCTCTAGCAACCACAATCCATCCTGTTGATTGGGATAAACTCAGTGGGCGGGGCTTAAACCTGAGTGAAGAAGGTGGGCGAGATGAACCTCATATTAGGAAGCATTCAGTCTTATTTTTATCCACACCAAGCTGTTAAATCTGCTAAAGGGACATGAAGATCTAATCAGGGATTACATTTATGATTATGTGTATTGTTGATGCCTGTTTCGTCGAGAGGGTTTTGGACTAAACAGTTAATTGAGTGTTAGAAAGAAATCTCTGGCAGTTTCTCAAGACCCAAAGTGACACCTTTAAACGTCTGGTTTTAGCTGATCAGTAGTTCACTACCACAAGAGGTTGAATTCACAATTAGACAAAACAGAGAAAAGCATAATTTTCCAAGTTTTGAGAAGCTGGAACTATAAAAAACAATCTAATATTATATATATGTATAATATTGTAAATCCAAGACCACAAAGAAGGTTGCTAGTAGCTAAACCAGCAGGAGTTCTCACAGTGAACATCTGACAGAATATAAAGAAATATGAAATGAAACAGGCTAAATGGTGACGTCTCCACCACTCAAGGACTACAGCAAGTCAATACCTGGAAAATAAATGGCCAGACTTTGTATGAAGTGATCCGAGGAGCTTCAGTACACATGAACTGGATCTCTCTTGAAGGTTCTGGAAGACATTCCACCTCTCATGTACGAGGCTTCTTCAGTTCAGCTTCCCTGGATGGGAGGTGAAACATCTTCAGGGACCTTAAAGAGAAGTCCAGCTGATTTCTACTGAAGCTCTGAGGATTACCTTCACCTGGATTACTGAGGATCTACACGTACATATTTGTATGAGGCGGTAAATAGCAATTGTTAGCAAATGTTACCAAAAAGCTAAACTGATGTGAGTTCATGGTAAACGTTCCACCTGCTCAGCATCATCATGTGAGCATCATCATGTGAGCATCATCATGTGACCATCATCATGTCAGCATCATCATGTGAGCATCATCACCGTGAGCCAATAAAACTCCAATACTATAACGAGGATCAGCTGTTAACTACACATGACCTTTGTTGAGTTACTGTGACTTTTCCAGCATCAACAAAATCACCAAACAGAAGAGCAGTTGGTTAGTTCTGCATTAACAGATACAGAAAACAGTTTTCAGTGTCTGCCCCGTGCTTCAGTGCTTTTAGGTTTATCCAGTGTCTGAGCTGCATCAGACTGCTACGATACATCATGAAACAACTTGTAGCTCGCCTGCAGCTACTGAGAACAAAAGCTGTGCATGTTGTCACTGCAGCATGGAAGGTGTCTGATGCCTTCTATTCATCCCAGGCTCACCTGCAATGAAAACACATATTTATCTAAGAATCAAATTATACTTACATCTGCACTCATTTACATGCAAGACGAGTATTGCTGGAGTTCTGTGAAAAACAACAGATAATGTGTGAAGATTCACAGTTGAATCACCACACCCCTGGGCTAAGAGCTGGTCTAGGCCCAGCTGTAAATAACAATTTAGCTCAAGAGCTTGTGTAGAATTAAACTTCTTCTTCTCTATTGCATGTTATGAAGCAGAGTGCAGGGTCTTCAGACTACCTAAGATCTGTGTTTTTAGCCACAGCGCTGCTCATCTGGGTGAAAACGACACCCCGCCACACTGTCAACTAGATGCCATGACGTCCCTGTCACTTGCCGAACTCTTTGATCCGCTCCTGTCAGTGTCTTCCACTCACCCACCTCCTGTCGACTTGCATTGCTCACATCTGAAACTTTATCCCCGGGGAGAAAGCGGCAGACAGCAGAGGCCCCGTGACACCAAACTCTGGATGAATTTGTCTTCCTAATGTGTCACACAGACCAATTTCCTTTTGCAGAGAGACTCTTCTTTTGGACAGTCGTTGTGTGTGACATTTCATCCTAACTGGTGCAGAGGATTTCAATCCCATGGGGCCATTGTTGAGGATGGCCGGCCACACAGAGGCTCACTTCAAATGCTAAGTGAATGATGTGCCCATTTGCTTTTCCACCAGTCTTCATGCTTTTTGTAAGGCTGCAAGTAGGCAACGTTGGCCTGAATGCAGATGTGCTCTGTACGACGGTGTTCATACTTTCCACCCTTCACTTGATTAAAGCACTATATATTAAAGTTTTATTTGCAGGAAAATGAGATGACCATACTGGAAACCAGTGCTTATATGTGTATATTGCTTTCAGTTTATTTGTCCCAAAGCTTAAATATGCTTAAAATGAAAAACTCCTGTTATAGAAAACTAGAATTGTCCTGTCAGTGCTAAAACAAGTCAGTGTTCACCTCAGTCACTACATCCCCTCAATAAACAAAAGAAAAAACCCTCAGAATTCAGCTGATCTTGGAGTCACACATGTCACCACATCTGCATCCTTTATACTGTTCGGCTGTACGTGACTTTCCAGAGAAGTCATTTGGGCAGTAATGACAGCACTTCTATTACCTGCCCTCCATTACACCTGTTGTCATGTCAACCAGCTGTTATGTGATTTCTCAGTCAACCTAATTAAATAGCCATACAATTAAACGAGATTTTTATTTGACGAAGCTATCTTTATTTATTTATTCCAAAAATGTAATTTGTCCTTCTGGATAAAATCTCTGTTCAACCACATGACGTTTTTTGAAAGTGAGTCCTCCAGACTGTTGTTTTCAGAGGCTTTCTTCATGTATGGCACTGATATCCTATATATATATATATATATATATATATATATAAGGACAGGTGTTTACTATGTTCTGTTTTTTTGCTAAGCCAAACACTTATCGTACCACTATATTAGATTAAACTGCCATGAAGCTCCAAAGCATTATCATTGTTTTAATATCAGAGGTTACATGTCAAGATTTCAACACCTGGAGAAACTCATTACGATGTGCAAGTGTCAACAGTCCAGATCCCATGTGTTCTGGTTAGTATGAGGGTGGGCACTAAGTCGTAGCTCCTGGCAGGAGGACAGGCCTCAGTGGCAGCTCACTAAGGCAGCTGTTAAAGATGAGGAGGATGAGATGAAATGAGCAGATCCACAGGGACTCTCCTGCATTCATCTCTTCCTCTTCTTCTTGTCTGGCCTTCATATCTCTTCTTTACTCCCTTTGTCTCCGACTAATCCGTCTGATTAGCCTAATCAAGCGGAGTGTCGGTTTGGGGCAGGATTGGTTGGGAACAGGCGGCTGGAAAGGACAGAGCAGTCTGCAGCAGTGCTGCTGTAATGATGAGTAATGGTGTCTGGAGCAAAGTGAACATTCAGTTGGTGAACTTGTGGTGGCAGGTCTGGTTTTAGTGGGATTAGACTGCTCCACAGGGCTGATGCTGTTCAAGAAAAAAGTATGATATAAAACCTGTTATTGTCAGTCACCTTTGAAATTATGGACATGATGCAGTTTTCTGAGATAAGATTCTTCCTTTATGATTAATTGATGCTGTCGTATGGAAAGGCTCGCTGGCATCAGCTGTCAGAACACAAATCAGTCCAACTCAGTACGTTTCACCCTTTTGGAAAAAACAAACATCTGTCAAATCAGCAAAGTCTCTAA